ACGACGCCGTCATCCATCACCGGCCGGTTTCGCGTTGCGCGTCCAATTTCGCCTCCCTTCCGATACCTTGACTGACGTGAGTCGTAATAGACCTAACAGGATTTTGCGTTTAAAGCGCTCAGGATCATTTTATCATCCGCCCAACGGAGAGATGCACGTGGGGCGGCTCAGAAAGAAATTCGCGAGCGAGTCGCGGGTTCCTCGGCGTCCGCCGTGGTGACTCGCGATGGACGATGCGTTTCCTCCCCCCTCCCGGCGAATTTTCCGAACGAGGCGTTCTCGAGCGAACGACGGTCGAGCCAGGCGACGCTTCTCTCTGGGCGCTGCCAATCAAGGTTGTGACATAGAAGAAAACTTTAGTTCCAAAGTGCCGAGGTCGTCCCGGCGGCGGACTGCTGCGCGTCTCTCTCCTCTCCGTCTCTGCGACGTTTCGACCTCGTCGACGATCGATAATTCAAGCCGTATCGATAAGGAACGGAAACGTCGCGCGCGCGCGTCGCGAATGCAACGCGCGCGCGGCGTGACGTCACGCTCCTCCGCCGCTTCGCGGTGTCCTCGTAATAAGCGAACGGCGCGTCACGGCCGGTCTATAATCAACGCGCCGTACGCCAGTTTATAGCGAGGAGACTCGGCGCGAGGTGGTATACACGCCCGATAGCAACCTCTAGTGCGAAGGTTGGCGTTTTAAACCGGCCCGCCCGGGCATGATCCAGCGCGGAACCACCTGCAAGTTGGCCAGCCTGCCTCACCACGTAGATTCGGCGTGACCCTCGCCGGGGCTCGAAAACGCCGTATACGTCCCTGACGCCGTGTACGTGGCTCTGCCGTTCGCTCTCACAGACGACTCTGTGTGTGTGTGTGTGTGTGCGTGTGTGTATGTGTGTGTATGTGTGTGCGAGTTTAACTTTCTCCCGTGATATTTCTCTACGCGATTATTGATTATTTCTCACGAAATTTTATCCTACACTCTCGGTCTCGTCGTTCGCGAGTCGTAGAAACCCAATCGTTCATTCCCGTCGGGTCCTTCGACGAGACCGGCGAAGTCCCGGGAGCGAGGAATCGTTGTGGAAGGACGAGGCGAGAAAAAGGGCGAGAGGAAGGGGGAGTCGCAGGGTCTCCGTTGACGAATGAATCCGGTATACGTCGGATGCTCGGTGGTCGAAGCCCCCGTTCACGCGACACCCCTTAGCCGTGGGCTGCGTGCCGGCACGTGCGCGGTGCGCCGAGGCGCGCGTGCTACACCTCCTGTCAGACTCGCTCGTCCGCCGCGCCGCAGGACGACTACCCTCCGGGGCCGTGGAAAACAGTGGAAAAGCCGGAGTCGGTGCCGTCGCGTTCTCCGTGACCGCGCGGCAGTCAGCATCAGCCAGCAGCACCGCTCTCTCTCCTCGAGCGCCGTCGGAGGACGAGCCTCTGCGGAGGGATCGCGCGCTCACGCGGAAGGAAGTCGCGAAGGGCGGCGCACACGTGTGCACGTGAGCAAGGGAAAACGAGAGACCGTCCTGGGGAAGCAGCAGGGAGACAACCGCCGCTCTCTCTCTCTCTCTCTCTCTCTCTCTTTCTCTCTCTCTCTCTCTCTCTCTCTCGATTTTTCACTCTCCTCCGAAGTCCCAAAGAGATTCGCGGCCACGTGTCGTACGGACGAGCGGCACGTGTCGTTCTGCACGCGCGATTAACACGCACGAGGTCGCGCTAGCTATCGGCGCGTCGTAGACGTCGGAGACGCGTGCGGAGTCCACGCAGCGGAGCCGTCGACGACGCTCGCTCGCTCGCTCGCGAGGACGGCCGGAATCGATGCGGCGAGTCGGGAGCGCCGAGCAGTCAGCACGCGACAGCATCGTCTGCTCGAGTCCTGCGACGTGCCGCCGTGCTTGAGAGACGACGGCGCCGAGGGGAGCGCTCTCGCCATCCGCCAGGACCAAAGACGTCTCCTGGAGCGCTCGAGCCGGGACCATCGCGGTTCCTCTTGCAACAGGTACGGACACGACACGGACGACGGTGCTCGTCTCCGGTGACCGGCGTCTCGCGAGATTAGCGGCGACGATCAGCGGGGATCCGTTACTCGAGTGCGGCGGGTTCGATTGATCCGCGAGGCGACCCGTCCGACGACGAGCCGTCTTCTAGGGACCCGAAGTCTCTCCGACGGGGTCGCGTCCGAAGATCGATCTCGCGTGCATCCGGTCGTAAGTGTCGGCTTCGCGACGATGGGGAAACGGCCGACGATCGAGCGTAAAAGCTGCAGTCGTCGCTTCGGCTGGCCGTAGTGCTGCGTTCCTCTGGGGATCCACAGAGCGCGAAGGTTCGAGGAAAAGCGCGAAAGTCGGCCGCGATATCGCTTCCCGAAGTCTCGCGCTTAGAGGGTAAAAATACTTACGTCGCTCCTGCGCGCGCGAATAACCGATGTTACGATTCTCTCTCTCTCTCTCTCTCTCAGAAACTCGTCTTCGAGGAAGCTTTGTTCCTTCCTTTTTTCGCAGCTTCTGAGAAAGCCTCCGGAGAAGCTTCTCCCAGTCTTCTACCCAGCGAGAGAGACAGATGATCGTCTGATAGGGGAGACGCGGAGTGCACGTGCACTCTGAAAGCGCGAAGATCGCCCCAGATAATTCGCGTTCGCACCCCATCGCGCATTCTAATCTCTAATTGATATATGTATACACGTAGAGGCACACGTACACGCCCGCGTGTGATTACAACGCTTTACCGAAACGGCATGACGAAACCGTTTTTCCTCGTGACTCACGCGACGGTGCGACCGGGTGAGTCGTTCGCGAAAAGAATCCTGCCGTGAGAAACGTCTCGCCTCTCGTTGCAGCTCTCGTTACCTCGCCGTTTGAAAAGATAATTAACATCGAATAATCCTCCCGAGGGGGAGGAGTTCCACGGCGATCGCGTCAGACGATGAGTGATTCACGTCCCACGATAAGACTGTCGCTCTTCTTGCTTTTCGAATTACCCCGATTATCGCTGTCGGGGGAGTTTCCCGCGCGGAATAATCGCCCCGGGGTGATGCATCAGCCGCGAAAATTCGGCGCAGCAACTCGTCTCTCCGCAACTCGCACGAAAAGCGCGCGTGTTATTTCAGAGGAATCGCTCGGTATCTTTGCGCCGATCGTATTCGTGTAGCGTCTTGACGTCGGGCTTGTTGCTGCTAATTTCGCGTCGACGACTGTGTGTGTGTGTATGTGTGTGTTTGCGAAGCGGAAGGGAAACACCGCGAAACTGACACCGCGCTCTCTCGGGGAACAATATCGCTCGCTCGCCATCGCGCGAGCAACTTGTCCGCGAACTCGCTTGTTCACTCGCTCTCGCGTTATTTACCCTTCGCAATGAGCGCACGTAGCGAGCGACGTTCATTTGCCAACGCTGTCGCCGGTTTGCTTTGTGCGCCTTAATAATATTCGCTAATTACACATCGACCCCCCCCCCCTCTCCCGTTGAACGCTCGCATCGCTTTCCGATCGCGACCACGGATGATCGATCGTGTTAATCACACCGGAACTTCCTGCTTTGTCCCGCCAGCTCCGTTCGTCGACGTGTCGAGTCTTATTGTTGAAAGAAACAAGAAGCAGCGCACACGTTTTCTTTTCGTTACGAGATAACGAAGCGGCTGCACCACTCGTGGACCCACTCGCTCATCCACTCGTCGTTTCGTCTCTCCGTCCACCTCCTTTGTCGTTGTTGACGAGACACCAAGCCGCAGGTAGCCCACTTTTGTCGCGTTGTCCCGAAGCCGGAGTCGTTTTTTCGCGACAAAGAGCCCGCGAAGGGAAGGACGGTAATTACATGTTATTCTTCTTGACATCGCGCGCGCGCTCTCAGAGAGGGAGAGAGACGCGTGACAACGAACGCCAGCAGGCGAGCTTTCACGGCTTACATTAATGATGACTTTTAACTACGTCAACGGTGTGAAAAAAATCGAAAGCCCTTTCGGCGAACTTTTCGCGACTCGTTCGTCGACACATGCGATAGCGAAATGCGGAATATGCAATTCGCGCGCGGAACTCGCATTTGTTGAAATCTCCATGTGAAATTAGCCCGAACGGAACATACAGAGCGACGGAAGGACGTTCTCTCGTGTCTCGGACGAGAGATCGGAGGGAGATTAGCATGATAATCGGCTCGTCAAGCATCGATGTACGGCGACATAATGTCGTCATGGGTCACCGAAAAATATCGCGAGCGCACGCGAGCGAACGAGAAAGGGCAGAGTGTCACGCGATATTGTACGTCGCCGAAGATAAGTACGTATGCGCGCGATGTGCCGCATTGATTCTTAAATATCAATTTTCAACGGCCGATTTCAAGGCGCTCCGGCCGGCCACACCTTCACCACCGTGAGTGCCTGGTGTAAAAAGGGTGAATGTATACCGAATGAGGTCGCTGCGCGGGGGTTGCCGGAGTCCGCGTACAATTTTATATCGGCCCTACCTTCGCGCGAGCGGAAGAGCGTTTTTCGAAATCGAGCGGATCTCACGGGGGGCCATTTTCCGTCGGAACGTCGCGAGAACAACGTGTTATTTGTTTCAAGCTTATCTCTGAATTGCGTTCCACCGACGATATTGTCCGCGAGACTTTTTTCTCCTTACTTTCTGCGCTCGCGTTCGAGAATTGAAGGGGTGCGAGTATTTCACTCCGACGACGAAGTCCTCTGATTTTTCTTCTTTCTTTTTTTTTTTTTAATGACATTCTCTCGAATTCCTTCTCTCCGTCGTTCTCAAATTGTTAGTACAGTTAATCACCGCGGCCTCGTACGTCTGGTTTCTATTTGCGTAGAAATTTCAAAGGTCGCACGCACTCGACTTGGATGTCACGGTCTACTCGCCGACGTTCGAGCACATCCTTACGGCCGCGCTATACCATCTCGAGCCTCAATATCGTCGCGTCCTACAAGTCGTTTCATCCACTTTCGTCGAATTACGAGGAAAAGAAAAGCTCAGCGATGTTTCGAGTGACACGATGATTAATGTACCTTCGATAAATGATGCCGGCCGGCGGTGTCGGAGCGGAAAAGACGCGTCTGTGTACTCGAAACGGCAATTTGGCCGGGTTTATCGCGCGAGCAAAAGGCGCCCGCGCGACGACGCCGGGTGAAAGTGTCGAGGGAAAGGTCGGAGGGACCTTTAATCGCTGACTAACACAGTTAAATCCGGAACGTCGCGAGAAGGGGATGGCCGTTTCGCTTGTGCATCTTCAGGCGTCAGCCTGAAGCAATATCCGCACCTCGACTCAATACGAGAGAGGAAAGAACTTTCAGAGAAAGTACCGCTGCCGCCGGGAGTCTCCGACGGCAAATTCAAAGAGACAGTCGGTAAGGTAATCGAAGGTTATCCGAATCGGACGAACAAATAGAAGCCCTCTGAGGAAGACAAACGCTCGCGGTAATAAATATTCATCGGAGCAATTCGCCCGGGATTTGATACGTATTGTATGATCTGTAAATAGCACAATGCGTATTTGTTACGAGCATTAACGTTTCTCGTCGATTCTGCCTCCCCTCCCCTCCCACCGGGAACGACGACTGCTTGCGAGTCTCTTTAACCCGACTTCTTCTGTATTGAACGCCGGTATTAAAAGCGAGAGAAATGTTTTTTTTTTTCCGGTTTTAATTCGGGATCGATTTTTCGCCGGTTAAAACATCCGGGATTCAACAACTTTCGAGAACGTCAAGGTACACAGTCGGATTAGCGAAGTTCCTTCGAGTGACGAGTGCTATAGGCGACAAGTTTTACGCAGCTCGTATGTCGCAACAACGGATCAATTCGCGGATTAAAAATTAAACTCTGTGTGTGCCGAACTATCAGAGGCGGTTTCTCCGTTCCGCAAAAAGCAGAAATACATTCGCGCCGAGTCGATATCGATTCGACGATGCTTTTCACGAGTTACGTTCGCAAAAATATTTTTCGGCGTGTCGTTGGAGTTCTATTTAAAACACGCGAGTGCTTTTAATACGATGCCCTTCAAAGATACCGCCCGTCCGCCAGACGAATTTTAATCAACGATTACGAACGCCGTACGGCCCGCGCGCGCGCGCGCGCGATCGTTACGCCGGCTGCTCATCTCACACGAGGCTTGCTTCTTTTTTTCCCTTTGCAAGATTAAATTGAATCTTCCGAGGTGATGTGTGGTAAAGCTTGCGCCATTAGATCTCCATTTTAACACGTTGAAGGTAAGGTGAGGTCAGATTGACCCCACGACGCCGTTTACTTTCACAGCGTGCACACGTTATTTCTCTTCTTAAGAAGCGTTTCACATTATTACCTACTTCCTCTAACCATTTTCTACATTTAAAAATAACACGAAAAATCAGCGGGTCGGATTCGACCTTACTTTGCTGTTAGAGAGCTAACGAGGGTTAACGGTGAAAGATAACGCGATTCGGAGAATCGAACAGCGCGTAAGAAACGACGGCGAATTAAAGTGTCCGACTTGCGCGAGCCGAATAATAATCTCCGAGGAAACGAGGGTGACGTGAAAGCGGGCAGAAGTTAGTTAATGGAAATGAGAATTTGTTTCGTCAACGCCGTCATACGGTACATTCGGTAAAGTCTCGCAATCATCTAATAGCGCAATGAATTTTCATTTCCAATTTAGGGCTGGCGTTTCCTCCGCGCGATCGCGGCCGACACGTTTCACGGCTTGCGAGGAACGATATCGTAGCCTCGTCTCGCGATACTCTTCGCGCTCACCTTCGTGCCTCCTCCTTCAACGAAATCGTCGTACGTGAGCGGACGATGAATTATTAATCTCGTGCACACACACACACACACACGCGCGCTACTTTTTTGTGATAAATATAGGTAGAAGAGGGGTATGACCCCGGGATTAGGGCTTACGACGAGGCTGCCGTATCCAGAATTTCTCCGAAGGCACTTTGATAAATAACCCTCGTTTGAGCGGATAAAAAGAAACCGCGCGAACGTACGTCCGCCGAAAGTGATTTATGTAAGCGGTAAGTCTCGCGTCAACCTCCCGTAAACTTTCGATTAACCGGACAATAAAGAGCCGCCTGTAAGGTTGCAAGTCCGCGCCGGGTTGCGACGACGAAATATATGCGACACCGCGTTAAAGTATTAACGATAAACGGCGGACAGAATTCACGGGAAAAGTGTCAATCGTCGGAATGTGGATCCGAGGAGTTTCTCAGGCGCGCCGGGTGCAAAGGGCGAACCCGACGAAATGCGGTGGAGTCGAGCTGCGGGAACAAAGGATCGAGGGCGCGTGATTCGTTTTGTTTTGGAAGAAATGCTACACCGGGATATCTTTATTGCGCAACAGGGGGGATAAGTATTTTGCTCGACAAGGCGTAACTAGCTAGCCGACGATAGCTGACAGCAGGGCGGGAGGGAGGGGGGGAGAACGGTGAAAAGTTGCGTGGGAAAAAAGAAAGGGAAAGATAAATATCTCGCGCGATAACACGTCGATGTCGCGGGCCGGGAGACACGACCGCGCGAATCGCACGTCCATACGGCAACTATATAATTCTTGCGAACTAGACCCACTAACCGAGACACGTCGAGACTATCGATCTACAATATTATACGCACACGAATGTGTACTGTAAGCAAACATCGGGCTACGCGCTCGGTTTAACACTTGTGCGCGCGTATCGCGCGGTCGGAGGGCAGGAAACAGAAAATTCCTTTTGACCTGGACAGAAGGAAATGGAAAAAAATTCGCGTCGTTGACGCCATCTAAAGGGGAACGCGAGAACTACCTTCAGCAGGTTTCACAGAGAAAACACGCTAGATTCAAGTGAATAATTATTCCGGTGCTCTTCAGCAAATTTTCGCTCGATCCGAGTGAAATATTTTCCAAGTAAATTATTCAAATGGAGTGTGTGCTCGATCCAAGTAAAATCGATTCGAATCAAAGTTTGCTAAGGAGTATCGGAGGAACTATTCACTTGAATCTGCCGCTTTTTTCTCGCGCGTATTTCTTCGATTGTTATTTCGTATTTAGCATCCTGCATCGTATCGGACGGATGGTTCTTCCATTAGGAAAATAGAATCAAATTATTATTCCCCGCGGACGATGTGATTCCTCGTCGAGCTTCGTGCGGCTCGTTTGGTATGCATCTCGAAGTGAACCCATCGATAACGGGAGACTTTTTCCCTCAACAGGGCGGGAAGAGACGGTAATCGACGAAACACTACTGACGCAAGCTGGAGAATCGTTCGACCTTAGTGACCTGGGTATGGTCTTAGCAGCGACGGCGGGGCGATGACGCTCAACCACCGTCCGCCGTCATCAGCAGGAGTCCCTCAGGACTCACCCAGCTTCCTGCTCCCGGTCCCGATCCCAGTCCCGAAGCCAATCTCCGACAATAGCCGCTGCTCGGCGCGGAACGTCGTGAAAACGTGCGCTACAACTGGCAGGCGGCATGAGAGATCGCTCTCATCATTACCGAGATCATCACGGACACGCCATGCCCCTCGAGGAGGTTCAAGGATTGTTACTTCCACCCTCCAGAACAGGTAAGTCGTTTCTCTCTCTCTCTCTCTCTCTCTCTCTCTCGTCTCTCGCGACAGAGGGCTGCGTTGCGTTCTCGTCACTGGAGTAGCGCGCATTTGGTATCGTCGAATTCAGTCTTGTTGCTGGAGGGCATTCGGATACACGAGTCGCTGCTTCTGCTTTCAGCACACGGTCGTTTTCATTCATTCATACACACACACACACACACACACATAGAGAGAAAGAGAGAGAGAGATTGTCTATCGTAAGTGTGTGACCGACGCTCCTCCGCTTGTTACAATTTAATTTCGTTAATCCTCGCGACTCTGAACACGTCGGCCGCGATTTGCGGGAAAATTAGTTTCCCTGCGAATTTAACGAAGCGCCTGCATTCTTACTCGTAAGGCGTACCGCTAAATCAATAAATGTCGCAGCGGCATCCGATCGTGCATCGAATTATCTCGCGAACGAATTGCCGCGACCGGCCGGTGGAGGAAGCGTCTCGCCTCGTTAAACGGATTCAATTTTAGCTCGGCTTACTCGAGGATGAGGCAAATGACACGGGGGTTAATTACCACTTAGTGACATCCCTGCGAAGAGCTGATCCCTATCCCGCGCAGCCTCTCTCAACTCGCGCCTGCCATCTCCTAATGATAATTTTGCACAACAGAGCACTCGATCGCCTGTCGCGCGATATCACACGTGTAATTAGGAAAATTTCGTAATTGAAGCGGCCAAGTAGCTGAAAGTGCTCTTTGATCAGGCTCCGATAGCGCCTCCTTCTTAAAGTTTCCACGTTAGTCGATCGCAAACAGATCATGTAAAATAACACCATTTACGCTTCTGATTGGTCGTCGCAGCAAGAGTTACAATCGACTAGCAATTAATGTAGAACTAATGTAGAACGATCTTTATACGTTCGGCAGATTATCCTTTTTTTCTCTCGCCGATCGCGCGGAGGATTATTTAGTGTCCTCGCACATCGACACGCTAGCGAATTTGGAACGGTGTCACTTTTCGCTTTCTTTCCCTCCCACTCTCAGTATCTCTCTTTCTTTTTCTCCTAGCAAATAAATCCTCGCAGGCGTCCAATTCGAGTATTCTAGTAGAAGTGTATCTAGTCGGTCTGACAAAAGTAACCAACTAATATAGGCTATATTAAATTTTCTAGCTCATTGGTTCGTCACTGGCTGATTACTCATTAAAACGTAGAATTGGTTTTATGATCCAGCCTGTTGTCAGACCGTTACACGTAAACTATGATAGGTAAATAGCGCGCTGTCTGTTCGAAAATAAATAATCTAGCCGCTGTATAATATACCCGCCTGCTAGCACTTAAAAATGAAACGACGATTCGAAATTGATGGTACGTTATTTCACAAAAATCTTAAAAGAAACAAAAGTGAACGTTACGTTATTGTCTGGTGATTAATTATGATTTCTCGTCTCGTAATTGGAACTTTTTTTTTTGGTTTAACCGTCAGCTATCTTATTTGTCTAGCGTTGCATTACTGACTGGTAGCGACGTTAGACACAAACTTACCGCTTTGTGGCATCAGACATCCGTGAGGTTCAGTTCCCACTGAGGGTGCGCGCCGTGATTCCGTTATGAATAAGCGGCGACTTAATTCCCCGTCTGGCGTTCCAGTCGTCTCTACTTTTAATCGACCGGCTCATCATGGTCCCTTTCTATCTCTTTCTCTGTTTTACGACAGGTAACCGGGGACCTCTGAATGTGACGATTGTACAGGTCGGCAGAGGAAATGGAGGCGGTGAAGACGGCGGAAGTGATTTACTGAGATTGGAGCCGCCGTCGGATTTAAGACCGGCACCGTCGCCCCTATCTGACACCAGTGCTACCTTGCAGTCTGACAACAATGACACCTTGGCCGGAGGTGAGAAGTATACCGCCCCCGTTACCCCGTGCTCTTCTCAAAGCTCGCCGTTATTCGCCTCGTCGTTGCGCGTTTTCGATGCTGGATAAATTTTTTACGTTTAATCTCGCCGAGTTGTCGGCGCTCATCTTACCAGAGGATCGAAGAATCCACGGACGAAGGATGATGTAATTGCGGGATCGGAGAATCCATAGATGAAAGACAATGATTCGTTAGGCATTAATTCGATAAGAACGAGATAAAGCTTCGATCGAGCGTGTCGGATGAGAAATCTGATATTTAACAAAGAACAACGATACGATTTGTATCGATTTAGTTACAATTTAGTTTTATCGGATTTGTTTTCAAATAAGAGGTCTGTTATCAAGAATGAAATAGATATAAATATATCTCTTTTTCTCTCTCTCTCTCTCTCTCTCTCTCGTAAGAAAACAAATATCTTCTTCGTAAATCACACACAGATCCTTCGTTCGTGACAGCAATTTCGTCAAAACGACTTGTGTCGATGCACGATATAAGTGAGATTAAGATTCGTTCAACCCGCCAGAGCAAAAATATATCCCACCTGGTTTTATATGACATAGATTTTAGGCATTATATGATGAGAGATATTCCGTGCATTCCCTTTCTATTTTTGAAATTATTTCATTAAAGGCCGCGGTTATATATTTGCACAAAACCGGGTAAAATATTTTCATCGCCCCGAGTCGGTCGAATTATGCATTACGTGCCACGGCGCCGTTAATTGCGATTTTTTGGGCCGTGTGTATGTGTGTGTGTGTTCCTTAAATATTGACGATCGAGTCTCGCTCACTCTCGGCCGGCGATAAGTTGCGTGACGTCATATCCCGTCACCGGAAGCGTTTCAACGGCGAGCTTTCGGTTACAGGCAGTTTGTCGAGGTTCGGCGAAAGAATGAGAGCGCGATCGAAAATAGACGCGAAAGGGGCGATAATGGAGGCGATATCGCGAGGTGACCGTTTAGCGATTTAACCCGCCGGCACAGCACGCAAAAACGAATTCCCGACGAATTTCGCAGGTGTCGATCCAAGGCTATTGCTGGGAACCGGTGGCGACCGTAACACTTGGGAAGGGCGTTACCACGTGAAGGAGCACCGGCGTGCTGGAAAAGCTACCTTCCAGGGTCAAGTTTACAATTTCCTGGAGCGTCCCACCGGCTGGAAGTGCTTCCTATATCACTTCTCTGTGTAAGTACCCACGATTTTTCTCGTGCGCGCGCGACTTCACCGCAAATCCAAGCGTGTGTTTTTACACATTTTGTTGTAGTCACTTTTTACATATTTGTAATTCACACGTGTCACTAGTGTAATTTTTACACACTTGCGCGCGTAAAATACCGCGTAACACGCGTAAAAATCTGTAGAAAGTGACTACATGTGAAATTACATACTCGGATTCGCAGTGTTGGCACGGCTTTCTCGCGTGAAACACCTCGCGATGACGCCTCGTTGGTAACACACACCTTCGACCTCGGCCGTCAGTAGTGGGTCGCAATATCCCTGAAAATCCTAATCCCGGTAAGGCAGACGAGAAGAAAAAGATTCTCTCACGATGTATCAAACGAGAATGGAATATCCGTCACGAGCCTGTTCCGCGCCGAGTTCACTTTTCGTCGGACGTCCAACAGCTGCGTAACTACTTAAACGGTCAGCGACGTATATCCTATAGTCAACAACAATGGGCCTTCCGTGGAAATAAAGTAAAAAGTTCCAAGTACATAATATCGCGCGCGCGCGCGCGCGCGAGCGGGCGAGCTTTCTTCGTTCACTTTATCACCTGCTCGCCACGCACAATGTGTCAAAGGGGAATTAACGCACCTAACGGCGCCGCGGCATCAATCTCTATCGTCACTTAATAAATATTATTAATACACGTCTCTCTCTCTCTCTCTCTCTTTCTTCCTTTCTCGAGAAAGAGATTGATGGCGGTCTCGAAATATCTCTCTACCACTACAGGCAGCGCCGCTGTACGAGCGACGATTAATTAATATGCATAAGTTTATACAAGATAAAGGCCGGCGCTTAACCCGTCCTTCCGTCGTAATCGTTAATTAAAAGTCCCTACTTTGAATCTTGACGCATCGAAAAAGTGTCGGACGGGCAAAAAATGATTAAACCCCTTGTAAACAACGGGGGGAGACTCGAGCTGACCGAAGCGCGCATTTCGAGCGATAACGCCTCGTCTGTAAAACGGACAGACAGATGCTGCCCATCCCTCCTCCCCCCCCCCCCCCCCCC